TATTGCATATTGGGGTGGTCAAAGTAGTTAACAATTGAAACAGCTAAATAAACCAGAAAGCCAACAGCACATAACACTGGAGGAATCCAGTGCATGTAGCAACTGAACCCATCGGCTCATTCTTGGAGATGGGTGGGCGCTCTACTTTTCATTCCTCATTTTAAAAATAAATAAATTAAATTCAGTCCCATTTTAAATTGGATTGTTTATTTGATTTATTTTTAATGGATCTCCAGTATCCTGGTGGATTCTTACCTATATTTCTGTTTTGATCTCTGTTGTACACTGTCTTGTGTTTGACACTGTGAGAAAGGAAGGGAAATAATTAATTAGCTTAGTAATTAGCTTGGTAATTAGTTAATATTGGGACAAGGATCTTCCGCTAGTCTTTCCTCCAGGTGGGCCTTAGCCTCAGCATTGGAAGGCAACTGTCTGGATTTCCACGACTGAGCAGACCACATTTGTGCATGCAAGGGTGCCTGTGTGTGTGTGTGTGTGTTAGTCACCCAAATCAGCTTCAAGCAGCTATTAAAAAGCTCCAAACCCTCAATCGGAAGGAGGAAGAAAATGTTAACAGAGACCCATTGTTGTCCTTTGGTAGAATGAACCTCCCAGATGTTTTAATTGGTGTTTCGCCCAGATACAGTTAATGAGGCGATTACGTTAATTACAGGAATGTTTGTGTTGGAGAAAAGGGTTCCTGGTATTCCCTTTCTAGGAGGGTGACAGTGCTGGGCACTTTCTCAACTCCTGCTAAGTCCCTCTGATGCACCGGACAACCTCCGGCAGCCACAGCGTGAGATGAAGTGGGTTAAGTCTCCTACTGATGCTCCACTTTTACCACCAGTAGCCATCCTGAGGTTGGTGCATCTCTCTCCCGTCTTGTGATCTTGCAAGAGGACCATTTCTTGGATGGGAAACTCTGCACAGGGCTTGGGCAAATTGCTTTCTCTGGACTGTGGCAGGAAGATTCTGGCCGTTATTGTTGCTGTGTGCCTTCAAGTCATTTCAAACTTATGGTAACCCTATCATGGGGTTTTGATACCGAGTTTCTTCAGAGGGGGTTCGCCGTTGCCCTCCTCGGAGGCTGAGATAGTGTGGCTTGTCCAGAGTCACACAACGGGTCACCCAGAAATCCCAGAATTCTATAGCAGTGCTTAAAACTGTGTCAAACTATTAATTCTGCAGTGTAGATGCAGCCTTAAAGTCCTAGCTGGGTGATTCTTGTTCAATGCAAAGTATTTTGGAGTGGCTTGATCTTGCGCATCGGCTATGTTAGGATTGTTGTTGTTGTTTGTAGTATGAACCAGTGTGGCATAGTGGTCTGAGTGCTGGACTGTGAGTCTGGAGACCAGGGTTGAATTTCCAGCTTGGCCATAAAACCCACTGGGGGACCTTGGACAAGTCACTCTCTCTCAGCCTCTTGGGAAGGCAATGACAAACCTCCTCTGAACAAAGCTTGCCAAGAGAACCCCAGGATAGTTTTGCCTTAGGTTGCCATAAGTCGGAAATGACTTGAAGGCACACAACAGACAACAGTTGTTGTATGGTAGCTTTTAGTCTCTCTCATC